CCGCACGAAACTCGTTCCAGACCCGGGCTGGTCCTATGGGGAAAACTCCCGCACGAAACTTGTTCCGAGCTTGTGCTGACTGACAGGACAGGATGGAGAATGTTACTGAATACGTGCGTTCAAGAAATTCTGAGCAGGATGATATCACATCGTCAGATGTCTCCTGCTTCTTGGGAGTTTTTGGGTGCAAGCAGCACCCGGGAGCTGTTTGGGATGCACATATATAATAATTCTCGATAATTATAATAATTATTGTACTCTCTTAATTATAATTATCCCGTGTGATGGGGGTGCAATGTCCCACAAATTCACTGTATTTCCAGTTCTCCCTCCACGTGTCTGAGAGTTGGAGTTATAGAACCTATTCTAAACTCACAGAAGTGGTCAAATTTAGTCGTGAGGGACCTTTTTGGTGCTGCTTTTGGGTGTAAACTCGGTGTGATAGTGCAAAGAATCAATCTCTCCATTTACCATAACTTTTTGTTGCTCTTCTGTAGAAATAGACAGGAGAGGGAGAAGGGTAACTGTTTTCAAATACACAATCATTTCTGCCAATGTTTTTTAGGTGGAATTACTTTTTCCTTTATGATGGCTCAAAAGTGAAGGAGGAAGGTGATCCTACAAGTGCTGGCATCTGTTATTTTTACCCTCCCCAGGTAATGTCTGCTTTATTACCTGTAAAGTGTTGCTGATCAGTCTGGATTGGGAGGGGTCAGGCTTCCAGGTGATTTGGATTAATTCTTACTTAGTAGTCATAAAAGTTTTAAGAATTTTTTAAAGAAATCCCAATTATCAATTAGCTCCAGGTGGAGCAGGGCTGGGCTCTCAGGGCACAGGACAGCACAATCCACCTCTGTCCTGGTGACATGAATAAACACACCACGGATGAAAGTTCCTCTCCATAAGCCCCAGGCCCCTGTGCTGCCTGGAAAAAGCAATCCAATTATTTTTCCTCCAGAAATTTCCCTGTTCTACTGCGATTGATTTATAGAATCCCAGAGTTGTTAAGGTTGGAATAAAATCAAGTCCAGCCATGAACCCAGCAACACTAAACCTTGTCCCCAAGTGTCACACCCACACATTTTCTGAACATTTGCAGGGATGGTGACTCCACCACTGCCCTGGGCAGTCTCTGCCAATTCCTTACAAACCTTTCTGCAAATTGAGTTTAAATGATAATTACTTTTTATTTATACCTAAAACCAGCAGTGATTCTTTTTTTCCTGACTTCTTTTACTGGGAAGTTAAAGCCTTTTCTCCCTGGCAGACCATGCCAGAGCAGCAGGAGCTGCTGTGTGGGCAGATGGCCGGGGTTGTTCGCTGCCTCACCGAGATCTCCGGGGCCCCTCCCAGCCTGGTCCGCCTCAGGAAGTTCAAGTTTGCCGTGGTGGTGGATGGAGACTTTCTGTGGGTGAGTTCAGGAGCCCCAGAGCAGTCACAGAGTGAAAACAGCCAGGGGCTGAAGGATGGGGTCAGACAATGAGGGTTTATTTATCAGGGTGTGGGCTGCACCCAGGGAGAGCCGGGGACGGTCCTTGCAGTGCACAAATTTCATTTCATTCATAACTTAAATTCTGTTTTCTGAGGCCTGGCAGTCACTTCAGCTTCCTGCAGAAAAATTTCAAGTACCTCATTTCTGTGCCCACACCCAAAGGGATTTCTGATGATGTTCCCAGCTGGAAACAGAATCCCAAAGTCCCAGACTGGTTTGGGTTGGAAGGGACCTTAAAGCTCACCCAGTTCCATCCCCTGCCATGGTCAGGGACACCTTCCACTATCCCAGTCCAACCTGGCCCTGGACACTTCCAGGGATGGGGGATAACAGGATTCCATGTGCTGCAGTTTTTAAGGACACAGTCACTGTTTGATAGTCTGATTGTTCTTTCCTTCTCACCCTCAGCATCCCCAGAGCTTTGTCAGTGTCCACAGACATTTAGAATATAAAGAGCAGCGTGTGACAGTTGTGACAAAAGTGCCCCAAACCATCCTCTGGGAACTGGGCTGAGGCCAGCCAGCCTCATTTAACTGGCACTGCTGCTTCTGTTTCAGCAACTCAAAAACTAGATGGAACATCATCATAATATAAACAATGAGTTAATTAGAATGTTTTGAAATACTTATTTTGAGGAAAATGTTCTTAGCAATTAAAGCACCAAGTTAGGTCATCTAACGTGGGAAGGGAGTGTGTCTGAAGCTCTGCATTTCTGATATTTATTTATCCTGTCTGTGCCAGGGCTCTTGTGTGGGTATGTTTGCATTTCCTTTTCCTGTCACTGTGATTCCGAGGGGTGTCTGCCTGCACAGAGCTGCCTGTCCTTGTGTGAAAGTGATGAGAGCTGTTCTCACTTGTCGTGCCCGAGTTCTGTCTGACAACCTCCCGCATGCCCTGCTGTGTGTGCTGCAGGTCCTGGGCTGTGCTGTGGAGCTGCCTGACGTGAGCTGCCGGCGCCTCCTGGAGCAGCTCATCGGCCTCTTCACCTTCTACCACGGCCCCGTGCGCGGGGCATACACGGTAACCGGGGACTGGGACAGGGGCACAAGGGACTGGGACACGGTAACCAGGGACTGGGACACGGTAACAAGAGACTGGGATACAGTAACCAGGGACTGGGGGCAAGGGGACAGGGGGACGAGGGACTGGGATACGACAACCAGGGACTGGGACATGGTAACCAGGGACTGGGGGCGTGGGGACAGGGTGACAAGAGACTGGGACACAGTAACCAAGGACTGGGACATGGTAAAAAGAGACTGGAACACGGTAATGAGGGACTGGAACATGGTAATGATGGACTGGGGACATGGGGACAGGGTGACCAGGAACTGGGACATGGTAATGAGGGACTGAGGACATGGTAAGCAAGGACTAGGGACATGGGAACACTGTAACAAGAGACTGGGACATGGTAATAAGGGACTGGGCATGTGGGGACAGGGTGACAAGAGACTGGGACATGGTAATGAGGGACTGAGGGCATGGGGACATGGTAAGGAGAGACTGGGACATGGTAATGAGGGACTGGGATACAATAACAAGAGACGGGGACATTGTAGTGAGGGACTGGAGACATGGGGACACAGTAACAAGGGACTGGGGCACGGTAACCAGGGACTGGGGACATGAGGACACCGTAAGGAGAGACTGGGATGTGGTAACCAGGGACTGGGGATGTGGGGACACTGTAACAAGAGACTGGGACATTGTAGCGAGAGACTGGGGACATGGTAACAAGGGGACATGGTAACAAGAGACTGAGACATGATAATGAGAGACTGGGGGCATGGTGATTTTGGGTAATTTAAACAGTTCCCATGGTGTCCCAGTTCTGCAGTGTTCCCTTGTGTTCCCTTTCTCCTGCCAAGGGTCACAGATGCAAGAAGTGGGACCTGGAAAAGTGAGCAGGTCATCCCCACCATTGCTCCAAGGTCCTGTGGGGCTCTGCTGACCCTTCCCTAGATGTTCACCCTAAAGAGTTTCCCCTCAGTATTGTCTCCACCTTTCCCTGACCTTATCCTGGCCCTGTGGATTGGATCTCCCATCCCAAGTGCATGGATCCTTTGCTGTGACAGTGTTTGTGGGGGGTTTTGTCACCCACAGACATTTTCCCAGGAAGAGCTGAGCAGGGAGTGGGACAGGTACATTGAGCACATCCAAAAAAACACCAGTGACCTCCACAGGATTTTCAATTCTCTCTGGCATCTGGACAAAACCAAGGTAAGAGCCTGTCCTGTGCAGTGCCCCAGTGCCACTGTGTTTGTTTATTTGCTGCTTTCCCAGGATTTTGTGGCCTCACTCGTTCTCTCTGCCCAGGTGGATCCCCTGCTTCTGCTGAAGGCAGCTCTCATCCTGCAGACGTGCCAGCGCTCTCCCCATGTCCTGGCAGGCTGCATCCTCTACAAAGGCTTGTAAGTAACCAGGTGTTTGTTCCCTGAAGGGTTAAATCCACCCCCTTCCAGGGCTTGGATCCTGGAGTGCATCCAGGGCTGCTCTTGGTTGTTCAAGAGCTTCAGGCCAGGCAGTCCCTGGCTTGTCTGTGGGTCACTGAGACTGAGTGGTTTGTGGAATTGTGGGATCATGGAATGGCTTGGATTGGAAGGGATCTTAAATCCCATCCTGTTCCACCCCCTGCCATGGGCAGGGCACTTTCCACTAGCCCATGTTGCTTTAAATCTCATCCAACCTGGCCTTGGACACTTCCAAGGATTCGAAGGCAGCCCCAGCTTCTCTGGGCATCCTATGCCAAGGCCTCACCGTGTCACCCTGGTTTTTTAAGATTTTCTAAGCCTTCTGATGTTGACATTCTTGCAGTGAACTTTCTCACACACTTTCTGTAAATAACTCATTGTTTTGCACTCCTTTATGGAGGAGGAGGAGGAAGTTGATGGGCTGTTAGTTTGACCAGTGTCATTGGAGAGGTGGCACTGTCACCCTCCAATCCACTGTCTCTCTTGGAAAACTATAAATGTTAGAGTCAGAAAATAAACTTCCCTTTTTTCCTTCACCTTGAGAACAGTGGCGTACGCTTGTGTTTTTTCATGTCCTGTAGTGACACTCACCACTCTCATGGGAAGAATTCCTTCCCAATATCCCATCTAACCCCTCCCTGTAGTAATTTGAGTCCATTGTCCCCCTATCCTGTCACTCCAGGCCCTTGTGAGCAGTCTCTCCAAGGTTATCTGTGTTCATCATCATGAAGGAGTTCAAATTTGGGTCTTAGTAAAAATCTGCTGGTTTTTGATACTCAGCAGGGTGTGAGGACTGAATTTATGAGAATTTTTAGGGAGAAGTCACCCAGGAAAAGGGAGATGAGTGGATGTTGTGCTCTCCCAGCAGTGTTCCCTCTGCAGGTGTGCACTTCAGTGCAGGTGTGTCCGTGTGTCCCTGGGTTTGTCTGACCTGCTGCCCAGCACCACTGTCTGTGCTGACAGGAGGTGCACAGGGGAATGAACCAGGATTCCCCACAAGAAATTCCAGCTTCCTTCCATCAAAGATGACTGAATGACTTCAAGGAAAGCCTCCAAGGTGGCCCTGAAAGACAGGAGGTGGGGAATTCCGAGAATTCCTTGGCAGCAGCGCTCAAGTGCCATTTTTCATTGGCATGAGCTATTCCAGTGACACCTTTTACAGGCACTGGAAATGTGCCACAGGGAGAGCATCTGCCAGGGAGTGACCTCATAGCTGCAGGCAGGACACTGGAGTGAGTCACTGCAGCACCTGAGAGCGAAGGGACCTGGGCATTTGACTTGAGGAGGGACTTGGGAGCCTTGTCCTGCACCAGGGTGTGTCACCCTGTGCCTCTGGTCTGTCTGGCAGAGACATTTTGTCACCAAATGCCATCAGAGTTGTCTAAGCTGTTGATCTCTTAAGTTCCCTGTCAAGCCAAGCCATTCTGTGCTTGTCTGACTTTGCTTTGTCCTTTCAGGATTGTGAGCACCCAGCTGCCACCTCCACTCACTGCCAAAGTCCTCCTGCAGGGCAGCCGGTCCCCAGGGCAGGTATGGCACTGAACACGTTCCCTGCAGGCAGATTCCTGTGAGGATGTGCTGTGGGAGCTCTTGTCGCACAGATCTGGCATGGGCCACCATGGGGAAGGACAAATATTGGTGATGATGCTTAAAGCTTTTATTAGTCATGATTTAAAAAGGTTCCAATATTTCTGCACTAGGAATTAGCTTTCTTTTTTCAGTCTTACTGAATTCATGAGTCCTCATTTATGTGATGTTTTGACTGGCTTTTTACACAAGTTTTGGTATTTACTGGGAAATCCACCAAATGAGTCTCTGACAAACAGCAGTTTTCATTTGCTTTAAAACTTGTCAAAAATTACTATGTATGTGATCAAGATGTTCTATAAAAGCCATCAGTATGCAGATATAAAGGCAACCTTTGCTTTTCTTCTGCTTGAATGAAGGGAATTTCTGTTCCCTGAGCAGGTGGTGATGATAAATCTGGGCTCTGTCCTGAATTTTAGGTGTATTTTGGTTCTTGGGAAGCTCCCCTTGGCTTTGAGAGCTCCCTAAGGACCAAAACACTTCGCAGCACTGAAGAGTCCCAGAGTTTGCTGGGAGGGTGATGTGGGGTCTGCTGCAACCTTGGGGGACTGGGAGGGTGACAAAGGTGTTCTGGTGTCCCTGATCGATGCACAGAGCTGATTTTTGGCTTTTGTTGCAGAGTGAGCCTGGAGCTGAGGAGCTGCAGGAGCCTGGTGAGCATCCAGCTGCATCCTTTGAGCTGCCTTCCCTGCATGGGAGCATGGGCTGGCTCTCTGGGATTCACACCCAAGCTGTGCTGGGTGCTGGAGGAGCTCCAGAATATCCCAGAGGGTGTTGCTGCCACCAGCCAGCCTGTGCTGTGTGATCAGAACCAGCTCCTTCTGCTGGGGTTTGCTCTTTTGGGTTTGATTCCAGATTCTGCAGATTCCCAGCCTTAGTTCCAGCTCCCCATGTGGCCACTTGGCCACTGCCAGCCCCTGACAACAGATGGCTGGTGCTTGCAGTCCAAACCTCCAGCCATCCCCTCTCTCTCAGCATCAGTGTGGGGATGATCTGCCAGGATGGAAACACTGAGGGGAAATTTAACTGTGTCAGGCATGGAGGGATGGGAAAATGCTGGGAACAGGCTGCCCAGCTCAATTGGGATGCAGGATCATGGAGTTTGGTGTGGTGGTGTTTGCAGGGGTCCCAGAATAAGGAAAGAGATGAGAACCTTGACTCCATGTTTCAGAAGGCTGATTTATTATTTTATGATATATAATTAAGAGAAATTTTTATGTTAAAACTATACTAAAAGAATAGAAAAAAGGATTTCATCAGAAGGCTAGAAAGGAATAGAAAAGAATGATAATAAAATCTTGTGACTCACCAGAGTCCCAGTACAGCTGAACCTCTGATTGGTCATCAAGTAGAAACAACTCACATGGACCAATCACAGATGCACCTGTTGCATTCCACAGCAGCAGATAATTATTGTTTACATTTTGTTTCTGAGGCCTCTCAGCTTCTCAGGAGAAAAAATCCTGTCAAAAGGATTTTCTGAAAAATATTTCATAATTCATATTTTACGAAAAATCCTGTCAGAAGGATTGTTTGTTGAATCCTCCCCTGCTCTTGCAGACCCTCTGCTGCCGCCGGGTGTCCGAGTGCTGCCGGTGTTCCTCACTGCAGAGGAGGTCTCTGCTCTCCAGGACTTCCCCGTGGAGTGGATGGCCAGGTAGGAAACCAGCCTGACCCAGGGGCAGGAGCTCACACTGTGTCCCTGTTGTCATTGTCACTGGTTTCCCTAGAGCTAACTCAGGCTCTGTCACTGCCTTTGGAGCTCCCTGAGCCCCTCAGGCTGGGCAGAATTCCATATCCAAATCCCTGCTGGGAGCAGCCTGGAGCAGAGCTGCTTCCCCAGACCAGCTGGGAGCTCTTGGCCCTCAAGCACTGCTTTGTGGACAAGGCAGGGACATTCCCAGGAGCCTGCAGGGTGAGATTCCCAGGCTTTTCACCTGTGTCAGACCTCAGCCCATCCTTTTCCCAGGTCTCTTTGTAGCAGGGGATGGATCAGACATTGATCAGGGATCAGTCATTGATCAGTGCCAGGAGCCAGTGGGGTTAGCAGCTATGAGATCCTGCTCATCCTGTTTCATCCACTTGTCATCTCCCACTAGGTCACCCATGTCCCCAGCAGACCCCAGAGGAGAGGAGAGTGCTCTCTGCTCCCAGGCAGCTCCAGAATCAACAGATGCTCATGAAAACCAAGCCCTGGATGGAATCTCTGTGCAGAAGTCCCATGAGGATGCATCAGAAACATTTGCCCCTGGAGATGCTGTGCAGCTGAGCAGCCCTGCAAGTCCTCTGATGGACTTTTCTGGAATGGGAGCCGGCACAAGGAATTCTTCAGCTGCAAACCTGAGTGAAGCAGGCAGTGAAAACTCAGAGCTCAGCAGGAAAACATCCTTCCCCTCAGAGAGCGACGCAGAGCAGCTCCCAAGCCCTTCTTCGCTCCAGACTGAATGTACTTGGACTACAGGCCCATACCTGGAAGGCTTTTCCTTCCCCAACCCTTACTTCTGTGAGCAGGAGAGCCAGGACAAGGGGGAATCCCCTGTGGATTCTGACATTGGTCACTGTGCTTCCCAAAATTCCCTTTCAGTCAGCCACAGCCCAGCTGTTCCCTCTCCTGCCCAGGAGCTGAGAAAATCCAGTGAGGAGGACAAGCCATGGACTGCGAGCCAGGACCGTGTGTCTGGGGGAAGTGACAGCACAGCGGGTGACCACGGCTGGGGCTTGGATTGTCCAGGCCCTGCTGGACACACTCAGCTCCACAACAGGAGGCAGCCACTGCTCCCAGAGCTCCAGGAGGCTCTGCCCAGTGTCCCTGCAGGGGACAGGCCATGTCCAGGCAGCAGGGACAGGCTGGGTGGCACAGGGGCTAAGCCAGCCCAGCTGAGCCTCTACGTTCACTGCATCCAGGGCTTGGTGCTGTCGCTGCTGGCTGAGGAGCGGCTGAGCCGCGACCACGGTGCCGTGCAGGACGTGGTGAGTGGGAACGCTCTGCCCCCCATGCTGGGGGACATGGGGCTCACAGCTGAGCAGGGAGTGCTGAATCGTGCTCCTGGTGCCTCCATCACCTGCTGGGAGCTGTGGCAGGCTCGGCAGGCTGCGTGGGAGCTGGCGGAG